ATCCCACATGAGAGGGCTGCAGGTACTATTTTGAGAATAAATCTTACCTGACAACACAGACTGACTAATAAAATACTAAATGTATCCATTCTTAATTACACTATGCGATTTTGAACTAAGATCACTGTTACGGTAGCGAAACCAGATTAAGAGCACATTTCCGGTTAAATAAAAATTTAATTTTGCTAATACTAGTTTGTCTTGGCAAGTTAACTAAAGTATAGTGATAAAAGGGAAACCACATTGTAACAACGACAAAATATAGTGCAAGACAGATAAACCTATCTTTAATAACAATGGGTAAATATGATATGAATAGATTCCCTTTAATTTAATTAGGTGCTTCCCCTTGACTGGGACCTTATGCTGTACACCAGAAATTGACCTGTTGTAACTGACTACACTTCAATAAAAAAATAGATGAATAAAAGCTTCCCTTACTTGATTTACAATTGTGAAGTTATATAGTACGATGAACACCTATTTATGTGTTTATATGCTTGTTTCCTCCACTCAAAGCAGAGATTCTCATGAGTATTAAGAAGCTTCCCTATTTTTTTTATCCCCTGGGGACTAGGCTATTGTGCCAAACAGTAAGATCTCAGTAAGTATTGATTAAATGATCATCCTTTATGTCTGAGCTTCTTAACCAGAGGAAGGCTTCAGAATCACCTAGGGGACATTTCAAAATCATGCCTGTTCCCAGAGAAATGACTCAGTAAGTCTGTTAAGACCCCATGTACCTATATTCTTTAAAAAACCGTTAAAACATTCAGATACAGAAATGCAACCCATGTCAAAACCTACATACACAATACCAAACAGAATGAAAAGCTACTTTAGGACTTGAGAATTTAATCTGAAACATTTTTATCTCAGTAGTTGGTGTCTTCTTTAATAAGAGATCATTATTGTGAAATTCTTTGGAAAATTGTAGAGAATTCATTATGTGGGATAACAAAGGGCACCTGTATCCATGAGTTAACATACAACATGATAGAAATATCCAGTAAGTTTTTCCCCCAGTGCTAGCAAGAATATTCAACTTTCTACCTGTATGAATAACAACTAGAATTAGCACTGCAGAAGGTCATGATGAAAGCATATAGTATCAAAGTTATCCTTATCCAAATTAAATACTGAAGTCATTAAATGATCAGCACCCCTCAGTCAACAACTGCCCCACAAACTAAGTTAGCTGGCTATAGGCAAGCCTTGAGGATGTTAAAAGAAACAATATGCAAGACATAGTATATATGGCCTATAAGCTCATTGGAAACAAGTATATTTTGTCTGATGCCCTAAGTGATTAGTCAGCACACAGTGGTTCCCCTAGTTACTGAAGACATTGACCAAAAAGAAATTCACTACTACTTTCAAAACCTATGTCAGCTAAAACTAAACTCTCAAATTAGCTGTAACTTAAGAATAAAGTTAGATCCCAATTATTTAAATGTGAAGTGGGAAAATTTCAGGAAGCAAGATTAAATTTAGGAATTGAAATGGTTCAAAACAGCAGTACAGCATGGAGGAGTTTAAAAGCTTGAGCCTTTGAGGTAGACTATCTGATTTGAATCTCAGTCCCTTACTAGCCATCTCACCTCAGACAAGTAACTTACTCTGTGCCTGTTTCCTCATGCATAAAATGGAATGGTAAGAGCATCCATCTTATATGGTTGTTGTGAAGATTGACTGAGTTGATATCCATTAAAGGGCTTAGAAACAGTGTTCGGTATACGGTAGATGCTAAATCCTAACTATTAGCAGAAGGATACATGCAAAAGAAACTTTAATAACAAAAACCTAAAAGATGACATGACAATGTAGCAGTTAACAGCACACACTGTGAAGCCTCACTGCCTAGGTTCTATTTCCAACTCTGCCATGATATGACCTTGGGTGGGTTTTTAACCTCTCTGTGCCTCAGGCTTCTACTCTCAAGAATGGAAATAATGTTTTTTACCTATTTCCTTGGGTTGTTACAAGATTAAATGAGTGAATGCAAGTGTTTCAAACAGTTCTGACACACTGCAAACTCTCAAATCATGAGCTATTCTTGTAGGCTTGGTCCATGTTATATTTTGTAAAGTTCTGTTTAAACTTCTCAAAAATACATGTACTGTGGTCATTTTGTTTAATGAGGGTAGTAAAATTGTCCACAGCCCCCAAATATCAACTTGGGAGTTCGCATTTTTGATGCTTGCTGTTTAATAGTCTTGTAAGACTATAGCTTGTCCAAATAAAGAATACAGAAGAAAAAGGGGGGAGGAGTTATCTGATAAGGCTGCTTGGTCTAAGAAATATTCAAACAAAAAATTATAAGCTTTAGAAAACATAAGCTTCGGGGAAAAAACAAATTCAAATGCTTAAATCAAATAAACTACTTACTATTGATTAAAAAATATTCCAACAGTAAGCATTTCAATAAAATATCAGTGAAGAATACAGATAAGAATACAGGTCTGCAAAAAAGAATAAATTCAAAACAAATACACGACACGAAATAGCATACTAACATCAGTGCCTATGCAACTTCAATATTTCTAGGAGAGGTGCCTAAAATAGAGAGCATCTCTCAGTTTTCCAATTGCCAAACTTGTTTGAATCTGGGATTTTTAAGTTTCACCATATAATTCTGACATTTAACAGCTGAAAACCAAAACAGACGCACAACAAAACTTTTCTATAGGTTGAATCAATAATGTCCCACATTAAACACTTTTTTCCAGTTTGGAAAATGTTATGTCAAGTTTCTGTATTATACAGACTTTAAAATATTACTAGACTAGAAAACTTTTTAAATTGAAGTACTAGACTAGAAAACTTCTTTAATAAAAGCTTTTGAAAATTAAAAATAGTAATAATAAAGTTGCAGTAATAATTTGAGTGCCATGTGCTACGGGCCTGTTCCAAGCCACTTGTTAAACTTATTTAATCCTTAAAAATCTTAAGACTCCCAAATTTGTTTTGCTCAATGCTGTATCCTTAAGGGTCTAGAATAGTGCCGGCACATATTAAGCACTCAATTATTTGTAACTCATATGTAACAAACTATTCATTTTACAGAGTAACAGGTAAATCTGCCCAGTCCGAGAATTCTAACTAGAGCATTTCTGCTCCAAAGTTCACACTCTTAACCATTATATTGCCTCTCTAGAGCTTTTAAATCATTAAAATGGTGTCACATCAGCTGGGTATCACCTGTAAGAGAAAAAAAATCAATTGAGACCTTCCTTTATAAAGTGTTCTGTTCCACATGCATAAAAAGCTATGGATTTGAAATTACTCCCATCTTAGTGGCCTGAATTTCCCATAGACACAAGGTTTTGATTTGTATTGAATGTTCTATTAACTACATTGCAAAATATAACTATGCTTCTTCAGTGTGTTGCTGGCCTTCAAAGTGGTCACAGAAAGATATTTAACAATCCTTCTTACGTTAACCCTTAACTCCTAAACCCCTCCTCTCCTCCTCCATTGTCTCAAAATACAAAGATTAAAGTTTGTGTTTCACATAAACCCACAATGTAATGATGACCTAAAACAAAATTCACGATTTCAACATCAATACATTGAATGAAGATCTAAACCATTATTCATAAAATACTAGTTTTGCCAAGTAAATTCCAAAGTCACACATATTAAATAAATGTAAAATTCAGCAGGTCTATTTTCACTAAAGTCCTTGCCATTCTTTCCATGTAAACTATTTTCAAAAAGTAATCAAAACCGAAATTTGTAACCCACAACCTCTTCTGACTCCTACTTTAGTAAGGCTGAATTTATTCCATGGCATTTTTTGCAAGTTAGCTGTAAATACTCCACCCTCCTCGATTGTGCAAGAACCAAACACACCACACACACACACAAATTACAGAAAAGGGAAATACTGTCTGAGAATTTGAGTAAGTCCTGAGCAGGAGGGCTTAGACCAGTGTACAACTTGATGCAGAAGTTAAAAACATTTAACAAAGAATGTTATTTCGTATTATTACGAAAGGAGATGCCGGAAAGAGCCTGAACCAGTTAAAGCAGCCGCCATCTTAAAATGCGGGATAGAAGTTAGAGCAAGAAAATGAGACTAAACCACCGGAGGTGGAGGTTCCGTTCACCCCCGGAGCCTCGAAAAACCCTATTTTTTTTCAACTTGGATCCAAAGTCTAGTAACAAACCTCGTTTTAAATAGCAAAACAATTTTCCCGGAGGATATTATTATATGGACTGAGGCAAAAATAGGTAGACCTAGCCTTCTCTTGCTACCACTGCACTCCTTATCCCCCCTACACCCCTCCAGCCAAAAGAAAAAGGGAGCTTCCAGAAGGCTTTTACATCAGTTTCCGCTGTGCCTCGGATAAATAGCTTCGGCTGAAAAGCCCCAACTACAAAGCATAGGAAGTGGCAACACTGTGTCAGCCTATCTCATCCCAACCCCACTTATTCTTGTGTAACCTGCCCAGAGTCGACGAACAGTTTCTGATGAAACTCATTCACTACTCTTAAGCTGGCAAGACTTCTACCCCGACCCCTAACAAAGTTCGGATCCGCCAGATTTCTAAGATCATCTCCTCTGAGTTTCCTATGTTTGTTCCTCCAGAAGGCCTAGAGCCTTGATCTTACAACTAAAGTAAGTTCTCAAGCACGGAGAATAGGAAGCGCCATGACATCTGCTGGAGCGTCTCTCGGCCAATTCTGACTCCCAAACCAGACTAACTTACAGAAGCAGAACCGAGGCGCCGGAGATCACTCTTCTCCATCCCCAGTTTACACCGATTCCACTGAAACATACTCAATATAACACCTCACTTGCCACAAGTGTTCAGTTCCCCAGTTTTAAACCTCATTTCTTCATAAAGTATATCCGCGTTCCCCGTCCCCCAGTGAAAGAAGCGACCCAAGGAATTATATTTTCATAATTTTATCTCCTCCCATTCCAACGCTATCCTCCGGGTAGAGCCCTTCTTTTCTCCCACGACCCCATTCCCTTCTGCCCCATGGGTTACCTTATTAATCCGTTTCAGCGCCATAGTCTGTGCTTTTCGTCTGGCTCCTCACTATCTCGGTGTGTGCTCAAAGGTCCGGCCAAAACTCTTGATTATCCTGGCGGCTGGGAAGGATTGTCTCTTCGTTTCACACCGGCTCTGCCAGACACAGGCGCCTTTTGCAAAAACGGAGCAGATCAGCACTCGCACAGGCCCCGCAGAGACCCCGAAGAAGCCAAGTCCCTCAAAAACGGTCGCGAGCCGGGGTGGGTTGGATGGCAAACCCACCGACAGCCTCTATGCCGTGCTTCGGCCCGAAGAGGGGGCGAGGGTGACGGGAAGAGCAGAGCGGTGGCTACAAGTTTGACTTCCCGGCCTCTCAAAAGGAAGAGGCGTAGGAGAAAGGGGTGGGTGCGGGGCAGGGTCCGGAGCCCAGCAGAGGAGGAGCCGGGGCCTAGTCGGCGCTATGCCGGCGTCACTAGGGCAAAGAAAGGCAAGGGGGGAGGGGGAAACAGGCGACTCCGGACTGACGCCGCGGTTCTTTCGGTTTTTGCTCGAAGGTGCGGCCGGGGAGGGGAAAGAAATAAAGGGAGAGGCTCGGTGTGTGCTGCTGTCCCCGCAGCTAGAGCTATTCTGAGTCGCCCCTGACGCCACCGTACACTCCGCCTTCCAGCGCGCTCCCGCGCGCGCCCGCCTAGCCACCGCCACCACGCGCCCGTGAGGCCCCTGAAGCTCCGGCTTAGGCGCGAGGACGCGCCCATTCCCCCTCCCCTTTAAGCAGGAGAGGCCCCAGCATCTCTAGCCTTCCCATCCTACCCCACCCAACAGGCTGGTCACTCAAGCCACCCAGGGCCTGTATTTCCCCTCTTACCCGGCCGGCCAGCGGGCCGGCCTCCCTTCCCTTCCCCTAGCCGTCCGCACCCACGCTCACAGAGGGGCCGGGGCCTCCCTCAAGCTGCGGCCTCGGCCTCCTCCCCGCGCGGCAGCTGGTGCCTCCCCGGCCCTACGGGGCTCACGCGCACGACACAGCCACAAGATGTCCGCTCTGACGGAACTACTGCCAGCTGCCACGCTCCGCCCCTCCCCCCTCCTCCTGCCTCTTCACCGCCGCGTATCAGTCCGCCAACGCCGCCGTCGCGAGCACAGGACGAGTCTAAGGGTGACGGGGGACGGTTTGCTCCCCACGTCCAGGGCCGAGTGAATCTGTGCCAACCCCCTTTTCCTTCTTTTCGGAACAGCACCTTCTTACTAAACAGACCGGAGGTTGGACTGGGAGGGCGGGGGCCGGAGGCGGGTCATGGGCTGGGGGAAGGGTAGACGAGCGGCGGAAACCCTCAGACTCAGAGAAGCATCGAGAACCGGAAGGAGACCATGGCAGGAAGCGGCAGCTGCGCGGCCGAGCCCCAAGCCCCTCCCGACAGCGTCCCCCAATTTCCTCACTTGGTATTGAGGAGGCGGATCTCGCGAGAACCTCGTGGCTGGCTAACCGGAGCTGTAGCGCTGCAATGACTTAAGGGCAGTTTTGTGCACTCTTCCGGATGGGGGCCCGCCCCCAAACCCACAAGTTCTCGCGAGACGCAGTGGAGCACCGGCTCGAGCTGGGGCGGGCCTTCGCCGGAGAAGCACCGCCCCCGAACGCTTATGCTGGTGGGAGGGAGAGGAAATGGAATTCCCCGGACTGGTGAGAGCGCGCGCCGACGCATCCTTCTCTCACGCGTCCAATCAGGAATGTGTGGTGGGAGGGCCATGGGTTAATTACTAGATACCTTTAGTCCAGGTTGACCCGGGATTTTGAAGTTTTCGGTGGAGCAGGTGAATGATATTGACTCGTCTGCCGGTCTGGGCTGGTTAATCAGTGGGAGGAGGTGCCCCTCTAAATGGGAACGGTCATTTTAAATAGTACCGGGCGGACCACTGATCAGCGCTCCCACGTGCGGAAATCTAGTGCTATTCTGACCCTAGGGGTTTAGAGGGTCTACCCTGGGAAGAGCGCCACCACTGACCCAGAATTAGAGCCGACTAGAAACCGAGCTCAACTGTGAATTGATTAGGGTGGAGGAAAGGGAGATTGGGGCAGGCTGTTTACTTGCCTCTGTAATCAACGGTCACCATCCGCCAGGGTTAGGTGTGGGAATAGGCTTTTTCTTTCTGTTGCTATGTTTCAGTCCTTAGAGTCAGAAAGTTGCAAAACTTATTCAAGAAGTCAGAGTTTTGGATCAGAAAAACTAATATCCAGGGGGATAAATATAAGGATAGGGTTGCCTGTTTTAATCTGCCGATGAAAAGAATGAAGAAGGTGATTTTGCTTTCTGGTATATCCTTCAGGCAAAGGGTAGTAAGACATTAAAAGGTAAGCACTGATTTGCTTGAAGTTTCCTAACGTTCCTTAGTGACCTCACTTAAGAGAGTGGATATCTTTAAGAATTGCTTGGAAATATAAATTCGTTTTTAAATGTGCTTAACTTTTTTTTTTTTTTTTAGGGGAAGAGGTAACTAGGCTTATTTACTTACTTATTTTTTTAAATAGAGGCACTGGGTATTGAACCCAGGACCTCGTGCACACTAGGCTCGGACTCTACCACTGAGCTATCTTCTCCCTCTAAACATACTTTGCTTTTTAAAAAGGGAAGCAGGAAGCTATTTCCTGCTGCAAGAAAGTATTTTCTAATAAAAACTTCTTAGTATGTGATAAATATGTTTCGTTCGAGTGACCATAATAGCGTCACTAGAGCAATTAGTGAAACAGTGCCTCTCAAGCTAGTATCTTAAAATTACCTAGGGATTTGTTCAAAACGCTGAATTTGATTTAGTAGGCCAGTGGTGGAGCCTCAGAGTCTGTAATTCTAAAAAGGTCCCAGGTGATACAGATTACTCGGAAGACCACCCTGTGAGTAGCAGAGCACCAAAGTGCTCACTTCGTGGCCTACAGGACCCCTCTGCCCCCTCACTCCTCCCTGAATAAGCTTTCCTTTGTTTTCTTTTTTAACCAGTCTAATATAGTAGAAACGTAGGATTAGGCAGTTGGAGTGGAGAAAGAAATCCAGGTTTGAGTTCTTGCTCCATTGGCTCCCATTTGTGTGAATTAATGTGGTTAGTTTCTTCAACACTAACATAGGCATAATAATAGCTGTCCTTTTTCACAGGGTTATGTGGTTCAAATGTCACAATGTATGTGAAAGGCCACTGTAGACTACAATGCTGTATAAATATGTTATTAAAGGAACTAGTCAAACATTAACTGGCCATGGTGTGAAACAAAGCTGTAAGACTAATAATATTTATGAAACATTTATCATGTACTAGGTACGGTGCCTATTAACGTCCTTTTACAAATAAAGAAACTGATGCACAGAGATACTAAGTTACTCTCCCAAGGTCACAGAAATAATAAATAGCAGAAGTAGAATTTGAACACATGCAGTTAATGTCAGAGTATTTATTGAATGAAGTATTTATTGTCTTTTAGTTTAGAAAGTAGGAAAGTAGGATGCTTTATATTTCTACTTTGAATGCTATCTGAATCTAATTTTATTTGACTTATTTCTTGCTCTATTTGTTTTCCTCTTTCTGGAGCCAAGGTACAAGAATGATAGAAAACAGTTCAAAGGGAACTTACAATATCCAGAAGGTCCACAGAGAAAAGTCCCAGAGAAGCTAATTTGTACTACCCTAATATAAACAAGCTTCAGCATGAAAGTATAATGGACCATGTTAATGCTTTGAATTAATGAGCACAGCAGACTGGGACAAATTTGAGGTCAGAGTTCCTTACTTTTTTGTACCACAAACTGTGTTAGTAGTCTGATTAAACCATGGACTCTTCTCAGGATAGTGTTTTTAAACGTATACAATAAAATGTGTAGCATTGCAAAGGAAAAAACTTTGAAATAGAGTCTCAAAATACTAAAAACAAAATTTTAATATAGGAATATATGTGCTAAAATCTAGTGGTGGGTCTAATAAAGATGAAATTTTTGAAATAATGATGAATGTAAAATTTCTAGACTTTGCAACAGTTGTAGTGTGATATAGAGATCTGTGATTCCTATTGGAGATACAGACATAGATGTAGCTCTTTGTGGCTTTACATTCATAATTGAAGGAAATGCTAATTTTCCGTTAGAGATCAGTAAAAATAAAGATGTAATTTTTTTTCCCATTAAAGTTCACACACACCCTGAATTCCATCCATGGACTTAATGTTGAAAAATCTTGGGTGGAATCAAGTAGACCTATTCCTGTTGGTAAGCTCTGAAGGGACTGTGAAATTTTAACACAGAAACATAATTGATACTCATAATAACAGTGATTTATTAAGAAGACGTTTACCACCAGTATACTCTTGTTAAGAAGGCATGGAAATGTGTAATAGATTTAAGAAATAAATTTACCCCCTTTGTTGATTTCTTGCCTCTTTTTTCTTTTTGGATACCTATAAAGGTAGTACCCTATGGAAAATTTACCTGTCCAGAATGATTCATTTCCCAAGCATTCTGGATAACTTAGGTTTTACTGTATCACTCTTACTACATGTCTTTACAAATAAGATGTAGAATTGCAAAGTGAAAATAATAACTAAAGATGAAAGAAATAAAAATACTGTATATTTAAAATTCTTAATAACAAGTGTTAATAATTATTATTTGAAGTACTATATGCTGGGTCCTTTAATTCTTTATCTCATCAGATCCCCATTATACAGATGAAACATTCAAGGTCATATAGTTCCTAAGTAGTAGAGCCAGGATTTCACTCTAGGCAGTCTGACCTCAACGATCTCATTCTTTTTTTTAAATTGAAATGTAGTTGAAAAGCTCCCACTCTTAACCACTAAGGTGTTTTCACTTGTAACTACTAAGGTGTTTGATTATTTTTTTACCCTTTGACTATTAGCCAACATTAATTTGTCCACTAATGTAATAAATAAATATTCGCTGCCTCAAAATATTTCCACCCACTGTCTGAAAGGAATTTTCTAAATTCTTCCTTTGCTGTGGCATTGTTTATATCCAATGCCACCTTTAAAATAAGTGGGCTACCAGCTGGGGCTGGAAAATGGTTTCTTTTACAGAAATTGTTGTTGTAATAGAGTTTTGCTTAGAAGATGAAGAAATCCACTCATGCCTTTCTCTACCCTACAAACATACTTTCATAAATGAAATTAAATCTTTGTTTTGTAATGGTGCTGCTATATTTTTATATTTACCATTATCAGGATTATGGAAGAAATGACTGCATTTAAATAAATCCTGATACATGAAGTTCTAGATTATTCGTGTTTATTGAAGGCAAGTGATTATGTAATCCCAAATTCCTTTTTTTGGCACTGAAGTGAATTTATTGGTGGATTATGCTTTCTGCTTTGTTTGTATTTACACTAGCAAACTTACATTTCTACTCAGTTTTGCTAAGGTTAAAATTAAAAGGGATCATGGTCTAGAAGTATTTTGATGTTTTAGGAGGCAGTTTAGGCAGTTAGCTCAAACTTTAAAACACTATTCACGTATCTAGTATTATAGGGAATGCATTTTAGTTGCAAATAAAGTTAAAACTGACTTTCATTTTACCTATGTGAATTACACGATAGAAATGTCTCCATCTGAAAAAAGAAAGGAAAATAATCTTTTTTTATATTGCAGTGTGCAATGTGCTAAAAAAAATTATGTATTTATATACTGAAAGCAACATTTACATTCAGAAATTAATAAAGGTACAGAAACATTGAAGTTGAGCTAAAACCAAACCTATCCTTTTTAATAATATTGAAGTCTTTCTAATTATGGTAGATCAGATTTTCTTGCATGAACTGGCATAAAACATGAGAAAAATATACAGAATCAAGAAAATTAGCATAAAAGTGGCAGTGGAATAACTAATCCAAATTATGGTGTGCCAAAGTCCTAATATATAAATGCATCAGTGAAGCCACATTATTATAATAATGAGTACAGGAGTTAATTAAAATGTACTTGTGAATAAACATAGTTAACACAAATTAGTACATATACGTATATTATTAATATTACATCTGTATTTTCAGATCCTTGTAACTTTGTCACAGAATTTTTTAAGGACACTGCAGTATAGTTTATGCCATTTTATTAATTTAATTTAATTGTAAATGCTATGGTCCAGATTTAATATAAAATTATAAATATACAGAATGCATGTTTACAAATTCTGCTTAGAATGGGTAATATGGAGCCCAAGTCTACCAAATGTTATTTCATATTGTTTGCATAAAAATCAAAGTAGTTTCTATACCTTACCAGTTAAGAATGTCATTTTTATGATCAAGACAAATTAGGAAATGGTACTTTATTTCATGCTAAGAGCATCATTTTGACCTTAAATTAAGATGGGTTTTGGCACATAATGAATCTTGCAAAAATGTTGAAGCTAAAAATAAATTTGAGCATTTTCCACAGAAAAATTGTATGCATGAATGTTCAGAGTATAGTATTCATAATAGTCAAAAGTGGAAACAACCCAAATGTCCATCAGGTGATAATGGATAAATACAATGTGGTGTATCCATATGATGGAATAGTGCTAGTTAATAAGCAAAACCAAAATACTGATCCTGCTACAACATGCATCTAGATGAAAAAAGCCAGACACTTAAAGGCCATGTATTGTAGAATTCCATTCATATGAAATGACTAGTAGATTACTTGGTTGTCAGAAATTAGGAGGAGGGGGAAGGGACTGCTAATGAGTATGGGTTTTTTTGGGGGGGAGGGTGATAAAACGTTCTAAAGTGAGATAATGGTGATGGTTACACAACTCTGTGAATATACTAAAACCCACTGAACTATACACTTTAAAAGAGTGAATTTTATGGTATGTGAATTAGCTTAATGTAGTTTTTTTAAAATAATGAATTAGAACCAAAATGTGAAATCAGCCTGAAAGCTTATTACCAAATATTTTCAATATCTCATAGTACTTTTCAGGTCTCTGATGATAAATGAGATATGGCATCCTCATGAAATACGGCATCTTTGTAAAATGTAAAATATTTACAGCTGCAAGAGATTTTTCCTTCAGTACAAACAATGTAATTTAGATTCAGTTTTAATATAATAACAAGCATTTGCTGTCAATTAGTCTTAAATTTGGAGGCATTTTCATCAATATTACTTGCTTTATGAAACATAGTGATTAAAATTAATTTTAAATAGCATTGTATTTTATTGAAAATTAAAGTTCATAATTATGACCAGAAATAGAATACATCTGATTTTGATATACTGTAAATATAAAAAATTTCTTTACAATTTCAAATAAAATCAGGTAGTTTGAAAATTGGGGGTAGATTATCTAGATAAAGAAGTTGACAAAACTAAAACAACTCAGTAATGAGTTTGATGTCCTTTATTCAAGGGAAAATAATCTATGGATGTTTCTACAGTGTCTCATAAGCACTGGAACACTCTTTCCCTTCCTGAGGGATTTTGGTCAAGAGTGAGTTTTATACAGTGTTAGAAGCTGTATAGCCTTAACGGCATGACTGCCCAGGAGGTTGGGGATTGCCTTATAAGGCCAGCAAGTCCTGTTTTCCAGGGTCAGGTGAGCTAGCTAAGCTGAACTGCAGGATCGTGATTGCTATATGTTAGGTTTCTTTGACAAGTGTTTCATGTAAGTGCAGGCTGACTTAGATTTAGGTTTGTGGCTTGGGCTGGGCCACTGGAGTGGCTTCCAATTTTTGGGTTCTGATATACAAACTAACTTTAAAAGTACTTAACTAAAAATAAGGAATTCAAATTAAAATTACTTCCCAACAATAATTATAATCTTTCTTGTTTCAATAATATTCTAAAAAATCTAAAGTAAACAGAGATTGAGACCAGAAATGACCGTTGTTACACCCATATTGAATTTGATTGTTTTAAATATATGTGAGAATTCTGTAGTAAGATAGTGCTGATAAAATTTTAAATTCTGCTTTTAAAGAATTTAAATTAGGATTAATTATGCAAATGTTGAACATAGTGGTTTTAAAGGGTCAGACCTATATAGTGTCTGAGTGGCTTAATGGAGACATTTATGTGAGGCTTTTAGTTTTTAATACATACTATCTAGTACTTGTTGATTTTTTTCATTGCAAGGAAGTAGTGATTTAACATATGGCACAATAAGAAAGAATGAAACTTACTAAGAAACACTCCCCTACATCTAAAAAAATCTTGAAGAATTTGGCTCGTTTGGTGTTGAAGAAGTATTCAACTGTTGCAGAGATCCCATCATTAAAGCATAGTAAATCTCAAAGTTAATGACTAAGTAATGGGAATGGACTTTATCATATATAGCTAATAAGAACGATATGATACAGATTCCCCATCTTACCAAAAGACCTATACAAAAAAGAACCCTGGGTGCTACAATGCTTGAAATTCAATTCTCCAACAATTTAAACAAAAAGATTAAGATATGATTAGATATTCACAGACTTGTGTGAATTTAGCTTTTCCTTGTTTTCTTTCTTTCTATTCTGCACTAATGGAGAGAAGGGGATGATTACTCTGGACCACTTTAAGGGTAGGGCTAAATGCCTGCCCCTGGCTTGGATAGGGCTATAATTCGGGACAAAAAGCAAGGTAAGGACATTGGAGACTAGGTGCAGAAAGAAGTGGGAAGGAAAATGTCAAAGGTAAACTGTCCTTGGGCGAAGTGGAACTGAAGAAGAAACCTTTTTTTTTTCTTCTTCTTTATTCAAGCACTACAAGGTCTCCTACCTTAGAGAACAGAATTCAGGCTACCACCATTATGCTGGTTCAGTTTTCATAACTTAATTGCCTGTTTTGTACTTGCTAGCTTAAAATCTAGTTACTGTTAACACTTCATATATAATGCATTCTGCCTTCAAAAAAACTTCCTTGTTTACAAACAGTTTTTTAAAATGTGGGTTTATATATGTGACTGCTTTTGATGTAAGTTAGGGTAAGACCAAGAGACTTACCCAGTGTGACAGTCAATGATACTTAGGTCTGACTTGGCTAAGTGTGGTCTTCAGGTTTAGGCTGAAGGTTAATGTAATAGAGCTCTGTTGATAGAATCACTTCCATCTTCTTCTTCTTTTTTTTTTTTTTAATATTGGATGTCTATTATGTGCTAGGCACTGAGCTAGATGCTGAAGATACATAGATGAAAGCCAGATGCTACCTTTAGGAGAATTTTTTTACCTACGGAGACAACTAAGGATCAGACAATCACTGTAGAGTGTGTTCAATGACATAAATGCATGCACAGGGTAATATTAATGTACTCAATTCATCTACGGGTGGTTAGAGAGTTTCTCTACAGAAGGGAGTTATATCTAAGCAAATGAAAAAGGAGGCATACCAGGAAAAAGAAAAGGTAGGAATGTTCCTAGGCAGAGGGAACAATATGCAATCTCAGAGAACTTGAACTTACTTTGCAAAGTAAGTTTTTAAGGTTCTTTGGAAAGTACTTTGACTGCAGTAGTGTGTGTGTGTGTGTGCAGGGGTGGTGGGGAATGAATGAGAGAAGATATTAAGAGACAAAACATTGAAAGAAAAAGCTGGATATCTTGAGGGCCTTAACATGCCATGTTAAGTTCAGATTTTATTCTGAAGGGTATGGGATAAGGGAATTGAATTTAGCATAAAAAGTCTCGATCAGATTTTAATCACAAAAAGATAACTATGATAGCAATGTGGACGATGTAATGAAAGTATGTGTTAGGATGGAGATTAGAGGTAAAGAGACCACTTGGGATGCTACTGAAATAATCTGAGTTGTGATTGTAAGGAAGACCTAAAATAGTCGCAGTAATTGCACCCATAGTACAGAAGGTAAATTTTGTGTATTTACTGGGTCGAACTGACCTTAAGAAAAAAAAATTTTGAGGCGCCCCTCTAGTTATTTCTTATTAGAATATTACAATAAAATCATATGTATATATATACACACACATATACATATAAAACATGACTGAATTATGGTAACATTGTAACAAAAATAAACATAATACTTGGTATGAACTCCTTATGCTCTTAACTCTGAAAGAACTTCATGTATTAAATGTGGAAAAGCGTAAACTAGTAAAATTAGTATCTATATGCTACTTGATTTTTATTTTATTTGTTTACAAATTCAGTTGTCTCTTGAAACAATTGTAGAGCTGACTGCTACAGGTTTAGTTTCTTTTAAGTTTGGCATGTCTATACTAACTGCTGTATTCCCTATAGAATGACCAGTTTCCTCTGCTAGAACCTTTAGGAGACCTTTGTTCTTTCTTTCACTGCAAATTGTTATCTATTCTGTGCTCATTTGCCTAAGACAAAGTACTATTACATGGTGCCGACAGGATCATAACCTAAATGCAACGCAGGCTCGGGAATCATGTGTCAGTGCTTAGCTATAAGTGGGAACCAAGGTGAGCTAGACTATATTTATATTAATTATTATAGATTAGTGAAATAAATCACAACATGAGGAAAAATATCTGATAAAGAATTCAAAGATTCTAGTTTGAAATACACTGATATAGAGGTTATAAAAGCCCGTTTGTAACATACCTACAGTTGAATTTGTTGAGTCTGACCTTGGACTCTCTAGAGTCAAGAAATGCTAGGCAGGTAGGACCGATAAACTAATAAACTAGATTCTAAAGTGAAGGTAAAGGAAGAAAGAAAGGGCTTAGATGCATTTTAAAGTTCATTCCTGTTGTGAAATTCAGACCATAATTTCTTACAGACAAGTAGTTAATGTCTCCAGGTCAGTCCACAAAGGACTGTTCTCTAAATCCAGCCTCTCTATATGTGCTATGTTCTTATGAGAAAATGCTCCATAGAGTTTTGGATTGGTATCACAAGAATGATCTATCCTCTGCCCATCAGAATGAAGCCTCCTACCTTTCTGTTTAGTTAGCAGAAATTCTCCTTGCTTCAAGCAGCAGGAGTTAGTTACTTCCAGTGGCTTAGGACAGATACTCAAACAGAATAGGAAGAATTGGACTGAGGGTAAAAATCATATTTAGTGGTTGGATGAAATTTTCAGGAAGTTGGAGATTTGTGGCCAAGGAATCTGTACATTTAACCTCGGGTGTCACTTATGGTTGAGTTGGCTCTAGGATCCTCTTTTCTTCTTCACTGCCAGATTGGTTCACTCACATTCCTCTCCACCGCCAGTATCAATTGCTTTCTTACAGGAACCTCAAACTTTCTTCCTTTCTATCCTGTTCCCTATTGAAAGTATAATCTCACAGGGTTTTTTTTCTTTCCTATATTTTTGGGGTTTTTTTGTATTTTTTTGTATATTTTTGTATTTTCCTATATTTTGTATTTCCTATATTATGTATCCTGTTAAGCTTTCATAAGGGTTTTTATTTCTAATAATAAGACTTTAGTATTTACAGATGATTATAAGCAAGTTGCTGATGGCATGAAGGTCAGCAAGAGAGTGGCTAAAGTGAGAAGGAGGTCATGAACTCTCATTTGATCCTGGTTTCCTTTCTACCACCACCCCAAACCCCTACTCAGCAAACTAGACCCAAGAGAAAAAGTCACAAGATTCAACTCTATTTAACAGAAAATGAGAAATGATTATTGTAATAATTTCTTTGATGTAACAAATCAGTACAAACTTAGTGGTTTAAAACAACCCAGTTTTACAGATTTGGAGGTCAGAATTCTGAAATGGATCTCACTGCTCTAAAATCAAGGTATAAGCTGGGTTCATTCCTTTCTGGAAGTTCTAGGGCAGAATCTGTTTTCTTGCCCTTTCCAGCTTCCAGAGGCCACCAGCATTCCTTGGCTCATGACCCTCTTCCATCTTCAAAGCCAGCAATGGCTGGTTGAGTCTTTGTCACATCATAGCACTCTGTCACATTCATCTGCCTCCTTTCACTTATGTAATGACCTTTGTGATTATATTGGGCCCACAGGGATAATCTACCCGCTTAAAGGCCAAATGATTAGCAACCTGAACTCCATCTACAACTTTAATTCCTCCTTGCTGTGTAACATAACATTTTCACAGGTTCCAGGGACTAGGTGTGGAGTCCCTAGTCTTTGGTGGCAGCAGGGAGAAGGGGGAGGACATTATTCTGGGGACTACAGCTATTTATAATTCATTGGGTACTCTTGAATTGAGGAGTAACTTCTTCCCTTTCCTCCATTGATTCCCACTTTATTCATCCGAAAAAATATTTGACCACATACTCAAAATATCCAGTGTCAAATGGTGTAGAAAGTTCAAATATACTAGGGATTAGAAATTTGTGAACTAAATTTTGTCACCAAGTCATCTGTCACTGAGTGAAGTGGTGTTGACACAGTTAAAGTAGGTTGGGGAGTGAATCGAAAGAGAAAAAAATGGAGAGCTTGGCTATGATTTAAAAAACTGGAAGATAGAGTATTAGCTTAGAGAACTTAGGATCAAAGGAGGATTTTTTTTTAGAATGAGAGAGATTTAAGGATGTTTATGGTCAAGTAAGAGTCATGAGGGTGATGAGATACACAGGAGAGGGATTAATGGGTGGAACCAGTTCCTTCACAAGATGTGGCTGTTGGTCAGGAAGTATTTGATTCTGTACAAGGTTGGTAAACCTATAGGGGACTAGAGGGAAGAAAATTAGAATGGGTAAAAAGTGAAGATAAATTTTAGGTGGGAGGAGGCAGGAGGTTGACCATTAATATTCAATGTTCTCAACCTGGTAAAATAGGAAGGAGGGCTGTGCGATGACAATGAGTTGGGCACGTGAAAAGGAGGTAACAGTGGAATCACTAAAGATGGAAACTGAAGAACTAATGAAAGAAGAAAAAAAGGCCTTACTAAGGGCCTAAGATAGAAGATCATGAATTTGTAGGGGCAATTTTCCATATGGTTGTATAATTGTTTTCCCTCAGCTTTTAGAACTCTCACGTGTGTGTTACTGGATTTGTTAATAGAGGCTTGCATTGCTAATCAATGTGTGAATATGTGTATAAAAAATCAGTGCTTTTAAAAAATGGTATAGTTCAGTACATTATATTGGTACTTTGTGTGTGTGTGAAATGAACAGCTCTTCTCAAAAATTAAGTTCATGTCTCAAGAAACTGAAATGACAGAACAGAAATTTATATGCCAAATGAGAAAGAGAGGGAGTGTAGAAAGAAATGAGAGGCATTTTACATTTAATCCAGATTCACTAGGAGATATTTATTGAACACCTACTATGCATCAAGCTCTGAACTTGGCTTGTAGATAAAATTTACATGATTTTCATACTTTTTTTCCCCAGGAGTCCTTAAGTCTGTAAAACTAAGAAGCTGCTTGGGTTGGAAGCTGAAGCCTTGCCCACTCAGATTCTTTATTGCTCTCCTCTCCTTCCATCTCCAATCCCCACTTCTACTCAGGATACCTCCGATGGTTCTTTGGGTATCTCCAGTGTTTATTAAACACAGTTTGAATAACCAAAGGTCTAAAGAATATTAATACTGAAGCCTCATTATAAGAATAATAGTCACATGTAAAACAAATAATGTGAAATATATTAGGGATAAATGAAGACAGGCACTCAGAGAATCTGGCCTCACGGCAGACATGTGATAGAGACAACAGAATTTCAACTGGCTAACATCTCAGTACAAGC